GAGTCTAAAGAGGTGATTTTGGTTGTTCATTTTTTTGTCGCTCATGTAATATGAATTTAAAAAAAAAACTATTTTTAAAACAACCACTGTCTTTTTCAAAATAGTATTTTCGAAATTATTTTATAATTTCTAAAAAACTACTTAAAAGCCATTTTTGGAAAATGAGTATTTTTTTACTATAAAAAAACATTATTTTAAAGCTGTTTTTAAAATACTTTTAAAAACACTGGTACTTTTTAAATATTTTTATGTGCCAATTTAAAAACTGTTTTCAAAAATAATTTTTTTCTGTAAATACTATTTTCATGCTGCCCTGTAATCTTAGGTTATTTTACAAAAGTGGCAACAAATTAGGCAGTGCCGACATACGGTGGAATTCGAACTCCAGCGGTTTCAGATATGCCCGGAAAACCTGCAGTGCACTTTGCGGGCTATCTTCTGACATTATGAGCCACTGAGATGGAACTATAAGGTGGTTAGGAAGCAAAGATTATGCAGCGATAAGTCTGTGTAACTTTTGTGCTATCATACTTGATACGACAAAAAATACCAAGACCAAGAGTGTCAGTGTAGGATTCCCCTGTTAGTGATGTTACTGGGATGCTCCCACATGTCAAGTGCAGCTCTGCCAGGTTCTTTGGTCCTGGACTGCGCACCTCCAGTTAATACCCACCGCTCGTTCTTTGTATGCATGCGACCTAATGAAGAATAAGAAGACAGAATCAGCGAATGAAAATTAGTTATGGATTTAAAAAGTTCCCAAATGCACGATCTGTCGAATAGCTGCGCCAGACATGTGAGAGCATTTCAGTAACATTGCTAAAATGAGATATTCACAATGATAGGCGCACAATCTTGGCATTCTTGGTGTTTGCCAAAACAATGGTAAAATGTGCCTAGGAAAGAATGTTCCAGAAGTGGACTACTTTATGTCCTTGAGCATAAAAACCGATGAAAGTTTTATGCATTTTGTGCTATGTAGTAGCTACAGCTGCACAAAACGCATATTGTTACTCATGCATGTCTTTGTAAGAGTATATATATATATATATTTGTTAGTTTATTTATGTGTGTCTTTTTTTGTCCCGCACTTTTGGCTCAAAAATCAGCAAAGCTATGAAGCTGAAATTTTAAGGGAATGTCCTGTGCCAGCGTGCGGCCCCACAAATTCAAATTTTGCTTTTATGCTTGCTTGGGCCTCACGTACGTTGACGTGAAAACGCTAACACGGGAGCCAGAAAACTAGGAAGCTGAATTTTTGGGAAGATGTCCCCATCTATATATAATCCAAATGTTTTAAATTCACTTTTGATGTACGTTTACGTTTCACATAACGATGAAATTTTTAGTGGAAAATTTTACAGCTTAAGAACCAGACAATATAAGACAGACAATATTAGTTTTTCAAACGCCGAAATGTAAAACAGTGAAAATTATTAGCAGCAAACATCCGCTGGAGGAAGCGTACAAAACGCTTGATCGCACCGACTTCCTTGCTGCGCCACTAGTTATGCGGTTTTTGCAGCAATGCAGTGCGAAAAACGCATATTGATGAGAGGTTGTCTGTGTGTCTGTGTGTCCGTGTTTGCGTCTGTCACGGTTTTTCATCTCAAGACCTACAAAAGCTACGAGGCTGAAACTTTGGGGACTTAATCTACATAAACGTACGGGCCCCAATCCCCATAATTGGCGCCATACCCCGCGTGGTACCCGCGTACGGTCCCCCCAAAGTTTTTTTTGGGGTCAGCTCATAACTCGAGGATCCGAGAAGCTAGAAGGCTGAAATCTTGGGGTAATGTTCCGCCCATCCCCAAAATTGGCGCCAAAACCCGCGTGGTACCCGCGTACGGACCCCCCAAAGTTTTTTGGGACTCCCCAAAATTGGCGCCAAAACCCGCGTGGTACCCGCGTACGGACCCCCCAAAGTTTTTTTGGGGCCCCAAAATTGGCGCCAAAACCCGCGTGGTACCCGCGTACAGGCCCGCCAAAGTTTTTTTGGGATCAGTTCATAACTCGAGGATCTGAAAAGCTAGAAGGCTGAAATCTTGGGGGGACCAGCTCATAACTCGAGGATCTGAGAAGCTAGAAGGCTGAAATCTTGGGGTAATGTTCCTCGCCCAAGCGGGTCATAACTCGACCCCAATCCCTAAAATGGGCGCCAAAACCCGCGTAGTACCCGCGTACGGACCCCCCAAAGTTTTTTCGGGGTCAGCTCATAACTCGAGGATCTACATCCCCAAAATTGGCGCCAAAACCCGTGTGGTACCCGCGTACGGACCCCCCAAAGTTTTTTTGGGATCAGTTCATAACTCGAGGATCTAAGAAGCTAGAAGGCTGAAATCTTGGAGTAATGTTCCCCGCCCAAGCGGCTATTAGTGGGCTCAAACCCGGCCTGCTAGAAGGCTGAAATCTTGGGGTAATGTTCCCCGCCCAAGCGGCTACTAGTGGGCTCAAATCCAGCCTCCGAGTAAGCGTGA